ATGTTGCGGAGGGCTGATGTAAAAGGAAACAACTTCTATTGAGAGAAAGGAGAAAGGGGAGTGAAAGGAGGTTCACTTATTTGGAGGGGTTTGAGTGCCCATGCAGGGTTTTGTGATCAGGAGCCTGGTGGCTTGTTGGGAAACACGAGGCTCCTCAAACAGCCGTAACCCAAGGCTGCGGCAGTGCCTAATGCCGTTGCCATGGCTCTGAGCCGGGAGGGGAGCGGTGGTGTTTTGGGAGCTGAGCTGAGAACAAGCTCCCATGTAGCATTAAAGGAATTTCTCTCTGGTATGATAACTTTAGCCAGAGTACAACAGCGCACATAATCCTTTTGGCTACGGTGTTAATGGAGTTCTCGTTCTTTTTTTTTTTTTCCTTCTTGACTTTCAAGCTCCTGTTCAAATACATCAGGAAAATAAAGTGATCCTGTAGATTCACTTTGTGTTTCTGCAGAGTCCAATGCTTGTGGAAAGGTTTAATGCAAATTATATTGCATATTTCAGGAGAATCAGTTTTATTCATTTAAATAGTATGCTGGCTTAAAGGAAAAAATTGTAGGCTGTTTAGTTTTCCTTCTGCTGTTTGTATACTCTGTGACAAACTTGATTTGTTTGTTGTTGTTTTTTTTAAATTATCCTAGACTTAGAGAAAAAACTGCTGAGAACCTCTATTCTGTTTTTTAGTATAATTATTTATTGGAGTCTTTCAATTAAGTAATTTTTTATAATCTCAGAATCCTTTTCAAAAAGGAGTATGCTACATTTTGAAACAAATATAGAGCAAATTTAGCTGCAAGCTTCTGTAGTAAATCACTTCAGAGGCTGTATGTGTTGAAACCTCAAAAGTAATTTATTTAACAGAAGCTTTCTGATTATATTTTTGAGCAAAACAAAGTCTTTCTAAATGTTTTCACAGACATTAATTAAAAATAAAAAAAAACATGCTCTGCAAAGGTGGTTCAGCACTTGATTTGCATAACTAGCTTAAATTTGAAAAACTTGATAGAGAAATTGAATTATGTTTTCTGCTGGCTGGCATAGATTCACAGAGCATGTTCTTTTGTGATGGTTTAATGCATTAAATGTAGAAGACCAATATATAGAGCTTTCGTATGTCTTGGAATATTAGTAGTTCCTTTTACATTTATATATCTACATTAAGATTTATTTTAGATTATTAAAATCCTCCTTTGAGCTTGTTATGAAAATATACTTTCCTGGCCATATGTGCTCTTGCCTGACTAGGTCAGAGGGCCACTTTGCTTTTTGATCATTCAAACACCTGGCAGCCTGGAAAGAAAGAAGAAAAGAGGGTGTCAACGATTCAGACTCCTGTCTGCTCCAGCAGCAGCTATGTTGCCAAGACTGTTTTAATATATGTTAAATTTGGGCATGTTCAGAATTGGAAGAACAAGTCAGATTTTTCTGTGGCCAAAGACAGTTGCTTAGGGACAGCTGGGAGATGAACTATAACTTCTTAAACATTGGATCTCTGAAAGAACAAAACTATTTCAGAACAATAAAAAGTCAAAACCAACCAAACAACAACAACAAAATCCCCAGCCCCCCCCAACAATCTATGGAAAATTTTAAAGTAGCCTTCAAAAGAGTGCACATAACTAACCTTGTATTGTGATCATTCTCCTTGCCTTCTCAGTCTGCCCCTCCCAGGGTGTTTTTGTTTGGATATTAAGACTTGGTGTAACAGCTGATAAAATCACTGGGAGATGGGCCCTTCTCTCTGTCTAATGTGGCAACATCCTAGTTTTGATGAGGTGTTCAGGTATAGCGGGCCCATAAACGTCTATATTCTGTAGATAACTTGTGAGTTACGGAGATAAATAGTAAAAGTAAAATCCAGCAAACTTCAACCAAAATTATTCCGGCCCTGGAGTGTTCTGTGAAGTGTCAGACTCACAGAGTCAATGACAAATTAGCCTCACTCCATGTTACAGTTACGGTTTGAAACCATCCTGGAATAACTGTACTGCTGGCTGGTAAGTACCTACGAGATGTAACCACAGTGTTGGGTCTCCTTGTATTTGTTAGTGCTTTGGTAGCAATGCATTATTGGATTGATTATATGACAGGATGATGAGTAGTGTTTCTTTCTAATGCCAAAACTGAACCCACGTTGCTGATTAGCCATCGGTTATCATGTGGCTCAGGGGATTCGTGGCTCTGGATGTCGAGCCAGAGGATACTGGTTCTCTGAAAGGAATTTTACTTCAGAGATTTGTGTGCAAGAAACACTCCCCTGATGCTGTGGCTCCAAGACTGGGATGGCTGCAGGCTGGTAGAACAGAGGATTGTAACCTAAAGGAGGCCTTTGATTTAAGTGGCTGATCTTGTGAAAGAGGGATTAGTTAGAAGCGATGTGTGGGTACTAAGAGTGCAGTAGGTCGATGACTTAATTATTTGCTATGTTCCTTTCTGCCATGGAAGATGACAGAGGCTTTAGAAGAAGGAGACAAAACACGCAGCTCTTCACCTTCTGAAGAGAGCTGTAAGGTGTTCCTCCTGCCTAGCAAATCAGCTGAAGAAAATTTGAGATGGTGGTAGCAAAAAGGAGGGAAAATAAAGAATTAGTTCTCACTGTTCTTGCCAACTGCTGGAGGCATCTGGACAAATTTTTAAATTGGCCTAATTTCTTGGGGTTCTTCCTGTGGTTCTCCCCACCCTCCCTGCCCTCCTGGGAAAGGAAAGGAGGTCATTTTTGTCTGCAAGTGGCTTGAAAATTGTACTTTGTTTGACTGCTACTGTGAGGCATTCGTTTGTGGCCCACCTCCCAGACTGACCCACCAGTAGCTCTCGCAGTAAGACAGGATACATTGGCTAAGCGAGAGCGTGGCACCGCTCATGCCCGGCTTCCCTGGTGGGTCAGGGCCAGTGCACGCTCTGCAGGCTGGCTCTGCCTGGCTTGGGTCTGTCATCTGGGCGAAGGAGCTCCTCCTCTGCCAAGGGACAAATGCCACCCACTCCAACTGGCAAGCAGGGGAGGCTCTGGCGAGCGGGGATGGTCGTGGTGTTGGAGTGGCAGTTGGGCCATGGATGTGCTCCAGCATGGTCAGCCTCAGAAGTCACTGTTTCGGTTGGTTGGGTTTTTTTCCTGATATTAATTTAATAACACATTTTTTTCATAGTTCTTTCTCTCTGCACACATGTATGCATGCTAAAATAAATTCTCCATGCAAATTGTCTCATTGAAACAAAAGCAAGGCTGCACAAGAGCAAAACAGAGCCCTGTAAGCTAACTAAGCTCTATTTTTGTATTTTTTTCTGGCTTGAAGAAACAAATTTCCTTGTCTAAATCTTGATGTTCTAGTGCTTTTTTGCCATATACTGTGATTTTGGGGCCAACACATATACTTAGATAAATATTCCAAATGCCAGATGTCAGCACATGCTGGGTAAGTGCTTAATAATCATGAAACCAAGAGCCCTTGGTCTATCCCAGCGGAAAGCGGTGTGATAAAGGAGACTTCTGCAAACAAAGCTGTAGTGAAGGGGTTCCTCTAGGGACAGGCAGAGGATATGAGAGTTAATCAAATTTGCCTTAAGTCCAAAGGAAGTCTTTTTATATCTTCAGTACGCCCTGACCTTTACAATTGCTCATTCCATGGGTTTTTCTTGCCCACTGGGTGTCTCTCGTTCCTGGCTCTGATCACAAGAAGCCTTTGGTGGTGTAAGAGTACACCATGTTCACACAGAAAAGTGTAATTTGGTAAACAATAGCCTTCTGCAATTTGTTGGTTACTTCTAGAACAAAATAAACCTAAAAATTGTCAGTAAAAACCCCCAAGAGATTAGTTGGAATTGTGTGCTGTGCTTTTCATCTACGACATTATTCTGAAGTGGTTCTGCTGTCATCAGTACCTACGCGTGTGTGTCTTTACGTTAAGTGTGTCTTAGGCTTTTTACAATTACTGTTAAGAATTAAAAGAACAGTGACTGTATGTTGAGAGCGATCTGATGAAGCACTTCTCCGTCTCTTTCACTATTGCCTGATGTGCCAGAGAATTTGAAATGGAGCTTCGTCATTCAGCTGTCATTTTTGCTTTACTCTGAACTGTTTCTCCCCAGTTCTTTTGTTGTACTTGAAGAACATCCTTAGCTACTGTTCAAAGCAGCTCTTACCAGCTCTTCTTTGCCTGGTAAAGTGCCATAGAGGTGTTGTAGAACCCAGGGATTTGCAGGCATACCACAGGCCACAGCCTGGCGCTTGCACAGGACTCTCTTCCTCTGGGAGCAAAACCAATAGTTTGTAGTAGAGGCAAAACAAACCAAAACAAAAACCCCCACTTGTGTAAAGGCATGTCTCCATGGATGAAGATCCTGGGTAAATATTTACCTTTGAGAAGAGGTGATGCAGCATTACTGTGTTTGTGTAATAGCATTTCTGTAGCTATTTACTACAGAAACTGCAGTGTTTTCTGTAGCTGCTGTTACGGAAAGGCAGCGTGATAGAGAATTAAGCGCTCCGGTTCAGAGGCATTCTGAGCTTTGTTGATGTGGGAAGGAAAAAATCTGGACTTGGATTGAAGTGCTGGGTCTTGACTTACGTTGGTTTTATCTCTGACTTGACACCAAAGATACTGCTAATACTAAGAGTGTCAAAGTTTATAGCCTGTTTCCGTCCTTCCTCATTTTTAACTTGCTTAGCAAAGAAGATTTGCCAGGCTTGAAAAAAGAGAAGATGATACCCTCCTTGGGTCAGTAAAGGCCCTGGCTGCTTCAGAACAATTGTTACATTCTTTGCTCCCTGTTCTTTTCCTAGTATTTATTTTTGGCTCAACCACTTCCTTCTGTTTTTCTGTCATTAAGAAAAAAAAAGGCTTGGTTTTGGAACCTGCAAGTTCCATCAAAAAGTAGTGAAGTCTACAACAGTAGTTGTCCATCAGTGAGCAGAACAAATCTCCTAAAGCTTATGTATTCTCCAAAATTTCCTGTACTCCAAAACAGCAGTAGCTATTTAAATTGTTGGGTTTTTTTTATTCTAGAGTGCTCCACAAGATTCAGAGTTAGGCCAGCCTCCTCCTAATGGGCACGGTTTAAAAAGGAACCCTCAGGAAAACAGCACAGAAAAATCTGGAGGTCAGCACATCTCAGATCTTCCTGCGGAGAGCATATCCTCATCAATTCCAGGACCTACAAGGTAAGAAATGAAGTTTCTTCCCATGAATAGAACTAAAACTCTGCTGCTGTTGATACTTGTGGGCTGTTCGTGAAGTTTCTGTTCTTGTGTAACTGATTTTCAGAATCTATCATCCTGATGATGATTCAGTCTTCAAAATAACCTGACAAAATGACACTACTTACTGTTTACCAAACCGACCCTCTTGCCTCACTGCGTAGCTATAAACAAGACTCCAGCTGTTGTAGTAACCCTTGACCTGAAACTTCCTGTGCTTTTTGTTCATACTAATAAACTGTCCTCTGAGACGGAGAAACACTGACGAGTCTTTTGTAGTCATATATGATTGTGAAGTAAGATGTAATTGTAAACAATTGCAAAATGCTGTGCTCAGCTCTGTATAACAGTCCTACTAAAAAGTACCAACCCAGCTAGTATTTATTAGAGTTAAACTCTTCTAAATGTCTTAAAATTCACCTGCTGAAATAAATAGGACTACTTTCAGAGTTAGGGTATTCTTCAGTGCTGTTAAGGATAGCAGAAGGTACCGTAATCTGGATTTTATTAAATATCCCAAAATTAATATTTTGTCTGAAGCATTAATACTTTTTACTTGAGTACTTGAATTTCCCATTCTACTAGGGTTTTCATCTGCTGCAATGAAGAAATTGTCCAATACCAGCATGATTTTAACACAGGGCTGAATGTTTTCCAGATCATCAGTGTTACCTGGGGTAGAATGAAAAATACAACTTAGAAGGAGTAGCAGTAACTTGCTGATTAATGTGTAGGATTTTTAGGCTGTGGGTACCTTATTAAGTGTTTTCATGAAATTTCTTTAAGATTGGAGAATTCACTGCAGAAAGATTTGCTGCATATTTTTCACATAGTGTATGTGTGATTTGGGCCTTTTTCTGTTTCCACCAACCCTGGCTACCATTTCTGATTGCGTTGACTTTGAAAGATGTAAACCTGAGAAACGAAAAACAAGAACAAACAGTAGTCAAGTAAAATATATCAAATGCTGTGAAGTTAATGCTATTCCAGGGAATAAATCCTTCTTCTCCCTTTTTTAATAAGAAATTGTGAAGATGAAGCATTACTTTACTGAGGGGGTTGTCACACACTGGAACAGGCCTTCTAGAGAGGTGGTCGATGCCCCAAACCTGTCGGTGTTTAAGAGGGATTTGGACAATGCCCTTCATAACATGCTTTAACTTTTGGTCAGCCCTGAAGTGGTCTGGCAGTTGGACTAGATGATCGTGGTACATCCCTTCCAATATTCTATTCTATTCTATTCTATTCTATTCTATTCTATTCTATTCTATTCTATTCTATTCTATTCCATTCCATTCCATTCCATTCCATTCCATTCCATTCTATAAGTATTGATATCATGCAACAGTTTCTGGCAGTTTAAGTCTAGATGCAGGTATTACATATTTCAGGGAAACTTAGAGACATGACATAATCTAAAAAAACTTCCCAAGAAAAAGCAGTTTACTTTCTGGAAGGGGTAGTTTGGCTGTGCTATGGAGCTCTTACAATTCAGTAGGTTGTTGTACTTCAGTACACACACAGGAAGATATTTACTGTTAGTTCTGTTTCTTCTGACTGCCACTTGCACATCTTAATTATCTACTGAAATTAATAAAATCTGAGCAAGACTAAGACTGCGAAGTCAATTTACAGTGATAAAGGTGTTTAGGCTTGAAGTTTAAAGGGATGAAAGGTTGCACTTCTTTCTAGAGATGTATGACTATTTCTTTTCTAATGTGGCATCACTTTACTGTCTAGCAGCAGGTCTATACATGAAATAGCTCTTCCTTGGATGAGTTCCTCATGTCTTTGCGAGCGTTTCTCCATTTTCATGTCAAATGAGGAAAGCTCTAGATGCCATTCACACTAGTCAGAAAAAAATGAATTTGGAGTCATGATGTAAACTTGGGCAGGGTGAGAATTTTAGATGCATTATTTTGTTCATTTGTTATTTCAGTTAACAAATACTGCATGTATCCTTTAGCTTATAGTTTCTCTCGACAGTATTGTGCATAATCACTGTATCGTATGTATGTGTAATGGTGAGTAACTATGCTGTCATAGCTGAAGAAAAGATGAATTTCTCGTAAGCAACTTAAAATGTGATGCCTTCTGATTTGTGACAGTAAAATAGTCATTTTCTGCTGTTCTTATCAGTATTCTTGTATCAGTATGGGAAGGGGGAAACTTTAGAGAGAAAATTAGGAGTGTTACTAACAGTTGAATTTTATAGTAGGTCTATCATGACTAACATTGCTGCAAATTAGAGTTGTTTGTGAAACTACACAATGACAGGTGTGAGACTGTGTACTCAGAACTGCAACACCCATACACCCTCTGACTGACCGCATTTGTACCAGCATCCACCTGACACGGTGTTTGTGCCAGCTGCAAAGACCTGCCTTATGCACTGCCTCTATCCTGCGAATGAAGCAGCAGCAGCAGAACTCACCTCCGAGGGCTTAAATTGTATATTTTCTTCTTGTTTCACAGAAAACATCTCTGTACGATTAATTTAGTGTCCACATTTCAAGGCAGATATATACACAGCTTTCTCCAGTGGCAGCCCCTGCCACAAAAAACCCTTCTATCTAGCTACCAGGAAACTGGTAGGGACAGTATCACTGTGAAACACTCAAAATGGAAAAAGTGCTTTCAACTCCCTGACCTAACAACAACTCCCAGGGGTGAACCTGAACAAAGCAACTAATCTCTCTGAATCTAATTTTCTGCACCTGCAAAAGGGGTATAGAATATGCACGGTGTAGTACGTTAAAGAGTAAGAGATTCTTAGATTTTGCCAGAAAGCAGCAAGAAGTACGCAGTGGCTTAAACTTTCTGACATTCTTGTTCTGTTCATTTGTGGAAATGTAAGGAACTCGGGTACCGTAAATCAGCAGGGCCCCACCTAAAAGCCATGAGGAAATAGCTCTCCATCCCTTCTGTGATGTTTGGTTCATTTTTAAGGTTCAAAATATTTAAAATCGAGAAGGGGACTTTGGGGGAGGGCAGTTTGTTTTACCCTGGTCAGCAATATCTTCCTCTACTTCTGTCTTCAAAATAAAAATAGTAGGTGGCAAAATCATATCAAGCAGCCAGGAATGAAGCTGTTTTCATCCATGCAGCAGGATTTTGTTGCTTCCACCCAAATGTCTGGTGAAAACCATTCTAGATGAACTGCGTGTGCGGGCACAGCTAGGAAAGAAGAGGGATGAAAATTTAGGGGGGGGGGGTTGGTGGTGTGAAGAAGAAAGCGTCAGCTTCAAGTTTCTCTAGGCGCTCAGATATGGGAAACCATTTAATACAGCCCACAGACAGATCTGTATCACTGTTGGTGCTGGAAGCAGATGGTGAACTTCCCAGAGCCTCACCACCTGATGGTTTGACCTGAGACTTGCAGAATTTCTTGCTGCTCTCATGTCTTCCTGTAGGTGGACATTTGTATCTTCATCCTGTGGGCAAGGTTGGGCAGTCCTGACATGGAAAGTGGCCTCTGTGGGAATCACAGATACAAGGTCTTGGCTGAAGACCTCACCAGGGCTTTTAGCGCAACAAGGGATTGCCTGTCTTACTAGTGGAGTCTCCCTTGAGAACACAGAAATCTACTAAACGTGTTGCAAAACTTATAAGCAAGTTCTTTCTTTCATTTGTTTGGTGACTTCGGTGTAGCAGAATTTAACCCTCAAATTATTGTATCCATGCTATTCTCTTTCAAAATCTGCTGTTACAGTAACAATGCTTTAGCACCCTGTAGCACTCAGAACAGCAGCTTTTCAAAATATTTCTTGTTTCATCTCAAAGTAGGAAGTGTCTCTCTTCTTCCTACTGTACTGATGGTGGAGAAAACTGGTTAATAGAGTCTGTACTGAAGCCAGAAGTCGTCCAACAAGGACCAGATGATTTTCTCTCTGTGGGTCTGGATTTTAGTGGAGGCATCAGTTCAGGCTCCAGCTATAAGCGGGTATAGGAGTATTAAGTGTGAATGGGAAAATAACAAACACTGGAGCTGAGGTGCAATGTGTGATGGTTTACATTGGTGCCAGCAATCTTGCATGTGGCCTTTGGAGCACTGGTTAACTGAAAGAGCAAGTAGTTACCCGCTGATGTGGTTTGCAGCAACAGACTGAGTGCAGCTAATTAACACAAGGCTACGCTGTCACCCACCCAGCACACTCAGCTGTCCAAATGGATGCTGGGATGGGCCAGCAGCAGTAATGGAGACTGGGTTGGGGTCTCTTATCTTGGGTTTTCAATAGTTCTGGTTTGGCTGCAGCAAGTGCAGTCTTGCCTTTTTTTTTTTTTTTAATATTAGCATCAGCGTTTTATACTCTTCTGTGGCCAGTTTGCATTTTTTAAAATGCATTGCTGAAAAATGGCATAGCTGCACTTCTTTAGAGGTTCCTTTTCAAAATGTGAGTACGAGAACACTTGGACTTATATTCTAGCTGGCTAAAACAGCTTTACAATTCAGCATGCCAGATTATGACTCTTGTGAGATGAATGTTACACGGATGAGTCAGCTTGAAGGGATTCATCACATTCTTCTTTCAGGAAGTGTATTAGATGGGCAGGAGCTCAGGCAACTACTTTTTATTCAGGCTTACTCCTGAAACGCTGGCACACGCCTGTTTTGGGTGGCTACTAAGTTATATCCTGCCAAAATAGAAACAAAGACAATAAACGGAAAATCTTTGAAGTTTCAGATTCTGGGCTGTTTATTTTTAACTCGCTCCTGTATGCTGCTTTGAACACATCTTTTGCACCCTGAAGTGAACTCTTACAGTCTTAAGAGCGTATGACCTGCCATCTTCGGCTGGAGTATCTCTGTGTGGAAAATTACCACAGTCACTTTTTTCCAGTCTTCTGGGTGGCTTTCTTCCATCCCCCACAAATTCTCAGAAATTGTTTCAGTCACTTTTAAACTCTTATGTTTTAGAATTCAAAACATCTGTGATTTATTTTAAAACTCTCTGTTTCAGTCT